GGAGACCTGATTACAACAACCCCGAGCGTCATTCAAGCTGCGGTGGATGTGGTGATTGCGTCTAAACCGAAAATTCCTGTTTCATTACATGATCGATTGCTTTGTACAATTTCGGCGCGTAATACAAAAAATCTGACTTCGAATATTCTGGAGTTCTATTCCATACTGCGTACTAGTTCGGTTGGAGCTTAATTGCGCGGACCATTGCGGTTCAATTCCTTATACGAAATACAGATTACCACATAGAATTATTTTGAATCACCAACAAACTGAGTCAGAAATGTCCGACATATGAGTGATAATTCAGAACGAGCTGAGCAATATGATAGTAAATCACTAACCTTTATTGATATACAAAGTGATGTTGATTGTAGCATTGAACAGGGCATCTTTCACAAGCGGAATGTGATTATAGACCACGCAAACCACCTGCATCTTCATCGGCAAAGTTTTCACGTGGTCGCCATTAGAGAGAGTAAACCGGTCCATGAACTCTTCATTCGCCATTATTTGCCATTCATCCGAAAAATGCATTTTGCCGATCTGAAATTTAAAGATTGGAATAAGAAGATTGCGGAAATCGCGCTTTGCATTCACAAAGTGCATAAAATGTTCCGTCAATATGTACCGTCTAATCGAGATCATTCATTGTTCAATGTTCATTCAATTCTTTGAAGATGGCCGTTAATGCAACGCACAGCATAGGAACAATGTGTTAAGCAAACTACCTCATGTGATACAAGCCACATCCTCCGTACCAGTTAACCACCGTTTGTGACACATTTCTTGTACGGGTAAGCTCCTATCTGTGCTCTCAAACCAATGCTACTCTGCAACCCAACGAGAGTAAAACCGGTGGACATTATGCAACACAACGCTCGAAACTAGACGAGGTACATTTTAATTAGCTATCTATGTCTAGTCACATTTCAGGTTATTGCCCCACAAACCATATTCACTAACCACTATTTCAGTCAGTCTATGTGACTGCGTGATATTCAGGAGCAGCTGGTTACTGGAATTGGAAATTTTTACACTTTTGATCCATTCACTGTGGTGCAGAGTTACTCGCACGGCTTTGCACTCCAACTGTGAGTCCTGGTTTTGCGCCACCCGCAGCACAAATGTAACGTTATCTCTGAAACGAATGGAAAGAGCGATATATTGCAGTGCACCATAGGTATAGTTGGACATTACCAATAAAAATTTAAAAGCATTTTTGTGTTTAAACAAATTCATTTCGTCGATAAATTGCATAATCAATCAAAAGAGTTGACAGCTGGTTAACGCTCTAACGTACCTGGGATAGACATCCGACTTTTTTGCTTGTGTCTTTATGTTCAATACAGCTTCGTACTCGGCCTGCGCCTCGATTTCAAATTCCAAGTTTTCACCACATAGTTTGTCTTCCACTCGAAAAGTTAAGTTGAAATATGTATTGTTTTGTTCCTTTTCGGCATCAGACATTCTCACGGAAATCGTTATGTTGCTCTGATTTCCCGTCCCGTCATGTTGGGAATCTGGTAACAAATATGAGAACATATTCGGAACGAACGATCGCTGTCAGTTCTATGGGAATAGCTACTTCATATGTCATTGAAATTTGTTTGCTAGTGATTATTTTGCTCACTTTTTTCATCTGTTTTGTTCGGTGTGATTTGCAGTTTGTTCCGTCCTGTGTCATCGAACTGACTGATTGACTTGACTTCATTCAACTCGACCAAACAATTGTCTCCGAATCGAATTTCATTGAAAGTGCGATTGCAGAGAGCGATCTCTGATATCTGAGACATTCCGCAACCGATCCAGAATGATAATTGGCTTGAAACGTTCCTCTTGGAGACAACAACAATAATGATCGACACATTTTCCGGTTTATTAATCCGTATAGTCGGCTTATCAACCGGTAGAATTTTCAACATGTTGCATAACTGTGGAAGAACAAGAAAGCATATATGATGTTTCAGGGAAGGATAGCATCGATACAAGTTCAAAGTTCACTCTGGACATCAAAAAGANGCACATCATCGAATCTATAATTGCATTGGTCGAATTAAATAATTGCTATGATCATTGTGAATTATGTACCTGTTAGAAAAATTCCTGACAAAATTGAAAACTCTGCTCTAACGCTTCGTTCGACTACATCCTTTGTTACGGACCGCTGTCGCACACATTTTCGTGGATTTTCTGCGAAATTTGATTAAAAAAACAATGGTTAACTACCGTTTCGATATATTGGATTTATTGTTTCACATATACTGTTCGATATCTGCATTACCCATACGACACTAATACCATTAAGGGATGCAGCTAGCACTTCTGGTGTTTGTTGTTGGCTAAACCTCGCATATTCTTGGTAGCACAACAGTTTAGATGAATTCAAATTTTTCGGCGGTTGCAAAACATGAGATAGATAAATTTCAACCCCTGATACTGTGACACAATACACGCATCATGAACTATCAACCAAGTGAGTCTATCGGTCCCAAATATGAAGAGTATGCGCAACGACTTGTTAACGCTAGTTCAAGCAAATTGCTCCTTAAAACGAAGACTGTTCAAGTCGTTTTGCATAGGACAATTCCAAACGATGGGAAACACGAGAGACCATTGAATTTATTCTTATTTTTTGTTTTCCATTTATAAATATCGAGAAACTTCAGGCCGGATTTGGACTTATTACTAGTGCATACTGCATTATAAGGCTTGGTGATAGCTGTAAAACAAGGCTGGTAAAGCGGACATTGAACGGTAGCTGAAAAACGCACAGGCTATTACCACCGACATATATCAATTTGTATAAATGTGACAGACAATTCATTTATTTACGGAGATATATTAACTAATAAACGAAAACAATAAGCCTGCTAAGCATCTGAAGTGGCCTCCACAAATAGTTCTGTCGCAGTTCAAAATTTGAATGATCTGTTTGTTATCAGTCCTCTAGATTTAATCGACTACCAGGCGGTTCTACTCACGGGAATTAACTTTTACTTGGTCTAGTTGCTCTCAACATTTGACTGTGAAAGTTAATGCACAAAACAGTGATAATGGCATTTTCATCTTTATAATTGGCAATAAATAATGAAAAACTCGATCTAACCTCCTCCGCTGATCTCTTCTGCCATGAAAGAACGATACCCGCTTTGCTGATTTGCTTTCGTGATGATATTTGGGATCGGTTTATCCTCACAGAACCACTTTTCGTAGTGCACTCGACAGTCCAGTTTGACTGTTTCGGATGCACTCGGCCGTTAATGGATAGTTCAACCTGCGGAAAGGATAAAACCAGAAATGTTTTATGTCCGGAAACTTACATTTCGAGGGGATGAAGTTTTAACTGAAGCTATTTACATAGATGAATCAAGAAAAGTATTAAATGCCTTTGTAGAAATATAGAAACTATTTTCGGATTACTCCGTCAAAATGACTACCCTGTGTGCCACTTGCAAAGGAAACCAAGGTCAGATTATCCTCCTGCCGATGATCTGAAATCCTCAAATAATGACCAGGCTAATTTCTCACCGCAACCATAACCATTCTCGTTGGCATCATAAGCATCAAGTTACACATCATTCTTTTTCTATACACAAACAACAAGAGGTTCTTACTGATAGTTTAGACTTGGACATTTTTTGGCATGGCAAGATCGGTTAGGAAGCGTTGTTTATTTTCAGTTCATTTTGGAAGCATACAATGACCAGTTTACCATGGCAAAATGGACTAGCTGAAGTTCTTTACAAAAGAATGTAAATATATTTGATCTGGCAATAAACAAAGTCAAGCAAAGTGAAGTAAACTTGTTAAATTATTTGAAATATAGCTGAATACTTTGCAAATCAAACTTACCCAACTGTCGGCGTTTCCTGTGGCACACAGATCCCCCAGGTCCACGCATCTTTCAAACTCATTTTGTGCGGATAATCTGAAAAAAATAAGGACCGTTTTGTGTCAACTGTCACTTGCGTCTTTTAGCCTGCAATTGGATATTCATTTTCACTGTATATAAGCAAATGCTAACACAGCGGAAGAGCTGTTATTCATGTAACAGAATACGTTTGTTCGACTATTACTGATTTTCACATCTAACGACGCAACAATAACGTACATGTTGGTCATTCAGATAAGTATTCCTCAACTATAAATGGGTATTGCCAACTGCACAAACCAATATCTACAGAGCAACTTACGAGTTGTTGTCAGCACCACTGGAGGAATTTGTTCCAGGACCGACTGCCGTAACTTTCATGTTTTCCAATCGAACTCCCTCATTAGCATGGCATTTTATGCGAACCGCTGTGAAACAGCGGAAACCATTTATCTGGATCCGATAGCCAAGTCGAATTGTCTGATCCTCAGATGCGGCATATTCTGCTTGTTTGTTCACATCTTCATCTCGGTCCCAAATGTAGAACTGAAATGACTTTTGTGAATGAAAAGTTTGAGGTTGGACGGTCAGAATTTGGTCTTATATTGAACTGTACAGGCAGCACAAACAAATGCTCAGTCATGCTTATCAATGCACCCTCATTTGAACACAAAAGTGGGTACATGACATTCAATATCGCGTGAAATGAGAGATCGCTCCATGCATCCGGACTTTCTCAAAATTTACAGTAGCGGTATACGATCGGTGATAAAAAATGTATTGATGTGCATATTTTTGCCAGGGTAAGAATTGAAATACAAAACAGACGGAACGATTTGTTCTTGCTTCCGGAGTACGTCTAACAGCCGTTGACAACTACTGCGTATTAGGGAATTTCAAAGGTTGTTCGTGATTATGGGACGCCAGCATTAGCCTGGCTTTTAACGCAAGGAACTCAGTTCCTTCAAAATTGGTAGATGGTTTTGAACACAACGCTTTTTGAGCTGTCCAATCTGCGACTAGTTCACATAGTGCTGTTGTTCAGTGATAATATTCTCCGACTATGCGGGAGTTCATACTTTTATTTTAAATCTGTCAGAAGATAAACATAAGTCGTTGGATCATTGATTATGGTTAGTTCTATAAGCCACAATAAAACTCCCTTTAAAGAAAAATTAAATAGTGTATTTTTGAACAACTGTACAACTGTAGAGGCCAGTTTATAGCACAATAACACATTCAACAATCCTGAGTGGGGTTGTTACGTTTTATCCGATGGCAAGATGCAGTATCATTCAGTGACACGGATGAGCTTGCTCAATTTTCAAATGAAGTTACTCACCTCGACATCTACACTCGATTCCGTCCGATGTGTTATCTCTTCTCCTGGCGACCCATTTTTGACCATGTCATTTTGATTAACGACGTTTGCATTTGTCGGCTCACGGTTCTCATTAACGGTTTGCTTTGGCTCGTTGAGAGAAAACATGTTAATTACTAGGAAAAGGAGAAAAACAGAATATAATAAAAACAAACGTGAGCTTTATGAACAATTTCAATTATCAATTTGACAATTATGTGAACGACACAATATGGAATGGTGTACGAATTGACTGTTGCTAGCAGTCACAAACTATAGTAAGAGGAACGCATAATACAATCTTTCACTGACTAAAAATTCTAGGGAGCTCAGCCTTCAAAATGTGAATAAGCACGCCATAAATACATAAAAGGTGTTTGCTTTCTGCCTCGGATTGCTACTTGCAATTTTTAGGAGTAACCTACAGGTGACTTACCCAGTACAGCGATCAAGATAGTGAGGGTTAGATAAGAGCGTGCCATGTTTCCAAACCGCAATGGAAAACGCAACTTTGAGCGATTGAGAAGCCACAGTCGGACGTGTCATTTTATAGCACACGAACGCCGTGGGTGTCAGTTACTGGTTGTTTAACATCGGATTGGTTCACAACGGTTTTTCAGCTTTCCCATAGTAAGGTTATGTCAGTTCATTGGGCTCAAGTCCGGCAAATAATAACAGACCATCTAGGGGGGGGGGGTAGGCGTGTATTATGGGAATAAACAGGCATTTCATTGGTTCAGTTGAATCGCTTCAAAATGCGTGAAAAATCCCCCCTACCGCTGAACTGCACTGAGCGTCATTTGTGCAACCAAATCAGAGCGCGGCTTTACATCTGATACGGGGGATGCACTCGGAACACTTTTCAAAACCGTCACCAGAACGATGTAGAGAATTTTCAAAAGATACATGGCAATTATTTCCCATTATTTATTTGAACCCCGCTTCAATTCATGATGAGTTTTTGTACGGTTGAGAGTACTAGAACGCAACAAAATATGATTCAAGTGACGAATCTGTACCAAAGTACAATACCTTACCGCTGTACCAGGGCACAGATTTCGTTTCCTATTATTTAATGAGCATTACGTCTATACCATCATTCTCAATGTGGGTAGTATATAAGCTAACCTGTCGAGCCCCAAAGAAAATGAAACTAATCAGAATTTGCTCTGAATTTTAATGTACGAAAGTTATTTTCTAAATCAATCACACTCTGCACTTATCGGATTATGGGGAATTCGTGGTGGGTTGCTTGATGCAACATCTTTGATTTGGTAACAAACCGTCTCCAATGTGTACTGCCAGATGAAAACCACAATTCAGTTAACGGAGTGAGTACGAGAGTGAGCGATCATTTGTTCGAGCTTTGATTGAGAAACCCATTCTAGTCCACACTGCGGTGGATCAACTGTCTCCTTGTGCATTTCTTCAACTTATTCCATGGTATTCTCAGTTTGAAATAGCTCAAAAATTCATATTTGTTGTTCGCTACTCTGTCAAACACCCTGGCATCAATAACCGCTTAGCCTTTTGCATGTTCGTCGTCTCGGAAAAATATTCGTTTTGACGACATTTCCTCTCTACGAAATGAGTATTGCGTTTGAATTGAAACTAAAGCTTCAGCTGGAGGTTTGACTCCTGTTATTTGAGTTTGATGCAATGCTCCGTCTCGGATTCACTCAGATAATCACTACAACAGACGCCTGTTTATCGTCTCCCGTTGGAAGCAGCTTCAACGTACGAAATGGATATTCTTTCGGTATGAATTTCAAACACGATCAATAGTCTCAATGCTCCAATGCGGTGTCAAATCGATTTCATATAAATAACCTACTCAAATGGTCAGGCTCCTAATTTGTTTTATATCGCTCGGGAGAGCACAAATAGTTTTTAGGGTTTTGCCCCGAATATTTCGATTTCGATTTCCCGAAATGATAGAGTATTCCATGTAAACTGATACAGACAAGTTACACTGAGTTGGTACAAAACAGGAATCTGGACTTCATCACTTGCTCGAAACCACATCAAATTGTGATACCCAAAGGAATCACCAACTGGAGTACGATTAAAAAACGAAAAACAATCACTTTACAGCACTTGTTGCACGAGAGTAATTTCTGACAAACTTTCGGTTAAATATTAGATAGCCAATGCAACCCATTTCATAACTCATTCAACATGTTCAGGTATTCTGTCCTCGTTTGACTCATTGATCACGGTAGAGAGGATATATTTACAAAAGCTCTTTTTGTCAGTTTCCAGTAAGTGATTATCAGCTCGTCTTTTCACTCAGTCATCCTGATATATTTGAGCAACAAATCAGGAAATACACTTCACACACCCAGCTTCGTTTGCTTGTTTGTGTTAGTCCCTTGAATAACTCCTATAGACCATAGAATAGCTGAGACGGTTTGGTAGATGTTTCGGCCTGAGTTGTAACGTTTTTATCAAGAATCGTCTACGTGTAGCTAGAACAAGGCCACTGTGACCTGGGGCCATTGTAAAACACAAGGGGCACGGTTGGTGTCACCAGCTTTAACACGAAACTTGTCTAAAACAACTGGGTTAGAAAGCAGGAGAAAATTATCAAAAGGTGTCAACATTTGATAGCATACACTAAGGAGTCATGGAAAGGTTGTGTCTAATCTCAAACTCGGCAATTGCGTGTTCACAGCCGCACAATGAAATGCATGCAGCAAATGGACTTGGCTTGGCGGGAAAACAAGATGCTTCGATTTGTCGAAACTTGTAATATTATAATTAATATTCTGTGAAATCAATGTACCAAGTTTGTCCAAGAGAGCAAACGGATGTAGTGAAACAAATTGGCCTCACAAATAATTTTTAATCCGCAATTGCTTTATAGACAATTCAACTCTATAAGAAAGATGGAAGGCGGAAATGCATCATGGA